ATGGATTTACAAGACCTCAAAAGCCTTATTTTGATATAGATTTCTTACAGAACTTCAACACTGCCATTACAGCAGTACCCTGATATTGTCTAATGCCATTAAAGAAATACAATACTTAAGGAAATACAGCAGTATGAACTATCAAGGTGGCACTTATGGTTCAAAATCCAAAATAAACACAGGAACAGAATTTTTTTAAATAAACCCAATGGATTTGCTGTAACATGTATAATTTCCTTTGACACACCTTATGATTTCTTTATATAGGTTAGAGTATTTATGCCAATAGAACAACATATAAGAAATACATTTGCATGAACTATTAGTGCAGCACCCTTTGAAATTCATGTTAGCTGTGGTAAAGTTGAAATAAAACAAAAAAAATAAAAAAGTTGCGAGGTATGCACGACTGGCAGAGGGAATCACTGTGACAAGTGTCATGTATCTACAGTAATATTTAATCCATAGATTTTATATACAGTAGGTAATACCTTCCTTACTGTATATTAACTATGTAAACTTCATCCTTAATATACTAATATACTTGCAACCAATTGCTAGGTACATCATTACTCTTACACTTGCCCTACCTCCATGGAGGAGGTGAATGTATTCAGATATTTGGGAGTGGACGTGTCAGCGGATGGGTCTATGAAAGATGAGGTGAATCATAGAATTGATGAGGGGAAAAGGGTGAGTGGTGCACTTAGGAGTCTGTGGAGACAAAGAACTTTGTCCTTGGAGGCAAAGAGGGGAATGTATGAGAGTATAGTTTTACCAACGCTCTTATATGGGTGTGAAGCATGGGTGATGAATGTTGCAGCGAGGAGAAGGCTGGAGGCAGTGGAGATGTCATGTCTGAGGGCAATGTGTGGTGTGAATGTAATGCAGAGAATTCGTAGTTTGGAAGTTAGGAGGAGGTGCGGGATTACCAAAACTGTTGTCCAGAGGGCTGAGGAAGGGATGTTGAGGTGGTTCGGACATGTAGAGAGAATGGAGCGAAACAGAATGACTTCAAGAGTGTATCAGTCTGTAGTGGAAGGAAGGCGGGGTAGGGGTCGGCCTAGGAAAGGTTGGAGGGAGGGGGTAAAGGAGGTTTTGTGTGCGAGGGGCTTGGACTTCCAGCAGGCATGCGTGAGCGTGTTTGATAGGAGTGAATGGAGACAAATGGTTTTTAATATTGACGTGCTGTTGGAGTGTGAGCAAAGTAACATTTATGAAGGGGTTCAGGGAAACCGGCAGGCCGGACTTGAGTCCTGGAGATGGGAAGTACAGTGCCTGCACTCTGAAGGAGGGGTGTTAATGTTGCAGTTTAAAAACTGTAGTGTAAAGCACCCTTCTGGCAAGACAGTGATGGAGTGAATGATGGTGAAAGTTTTTCTTTTTCGGGCCACCCTGCCTTGGTGGGAATCGGCCAGTGTGATAATAAAAAAAAAAAATAATAAATTTAACCATAGCCTTCAGCTTCTAACTCAAAACACTTTAAGATCTCCCTCATGACTTTGCTCTCGAGTAACTTGCTACAAATATCTGATCGACTTCACCTTTTCCTTTGTGAAATCTGACTTGTTCCTAATTAGAAAGTTTTCCAAGTAATTTATTATCTTTCTCAATCACTGCATTCTCATGCATTTTTGCATACAAAACTCTAAAGACTAATGGCTACAGTTTCTTAAAGTCAACATTCAGCCTTACTTTTGTTCTATGGTGCAATAACACCTTGCCAAACCAACTATTACATGATTTTGCCTGAATTTCTGATTCTCTTTAATTATATCTGCAATCTGATGCCACCTTGAAAGATATAATACATATGGCCTTTGATAAGAGTTCCATACAGGGGACTGATACAGTAGTGGCACATGCTGGGGGATGAGAAATTATCTCCTGGGTTAAAACATGGTTAACTGGTACAAAAAAGAGAATCTGAATAAACTGAAAGAAATTAGAATGGGGACTCATTTCAAGCAGTGTGCATCACAGGGTCAGTATTGGAGACCCTTGCTATCATAATTTATATAAATGACATAGATAAGAGAACAGTGACATAAGTAAGTTTGCTAATGACTCTAAAACAGGCCATTAAATAATTTCTAGGAGGACAAGAGAAAGTGGAAGATGACCTGGATAGATTGATGTTGTGGTCAAAGAAGTGGCAGATGCAGTTCAATGCAAACAATTCAAAGGTTCTAATCTTAGGAAAAGAAAAGAACTAGGGCACTTCTAAGTAAAATAATGTAGATCTTATTCCACTGAATGTGAAAAACTTTTAGGACTTATGGTTAGCAGAAATTTAAAAACAACAGTGCATAAATGTCAAAAAGCTAATAGAATTCTTGGCTTCATATTAAAAAGTGTAAATAACAGAAATCCTTAAGGTATACTTCAACCTCATATATCCTGGATAAGGCCTCATTACCATTATCTTATTTGGTTTTTGTCTCCATATTACAGAAAGGATATATATGTGCTGGAAAATTTAAAGCAGGATGACAAAGCTGATCCCATGTATCAGAAATCTTTCCTAAGAAGACAGACTGAAGGACTTAATTTGAACTCTCTGGAAAGATGCAGAGTTGGAGGATATAATCAACGTATACAAATGGAAAACATCTCCATGGGAAGTGGAAAAGAATTTTTCCTCCATAAGGCATGAGTGTTGTAAGAGGCACCTACAGTGCTAGGAGCAAGGGGCTAGTAACCCATTCTCCTGTATAAATTACTAAATTTAAAAAGAAAAACATAAATTTTTCATGTTAGGTCACCCTGCCTCAGTGGGATACAGCCAGATTATTAAAAAAAAAAAAAAAAGGTTATAATTATAATAATCCTAGGTAGTAGGTTGGTAGATAGCATCCGCCCAGTCTGTAATTGTTTTACATGATGGTAGGATTGCTGGTGTCTTTTTTTCTGTCTCATAAACATGCAAGATTTTAGGTACGTCTTGCTACTTTTCTTCTGTCTCATAAACATGCAAGATTTTAGGTACGTCTTGCTACTTCTACTTACACTTGGGTCACACTACACATACATGTACAAGCATATATATATATACACCTCTGGGTTTTCTGCTATTTTCTTTCTAGTTCTTGTTCTTGTTTATTTCCTCTTATCTCCATGGGGAAGTGGAACAGAATTCTTCCTCCATAAGCCATGCGTGTAGTAAGAGGCGACTAAAATGCCAGGAGCAAGGGGCTAGTAACCCCTTCTTCTGTATATATTATTAAATGTAAAAGGAGAAACTTTCGTTTTTCCTTTTGGGCCACCCCGCCTCGGTGGGATACAGCCGGTGTGTTGAAAGAAAGAATTATAATAATTCTAGGTAGTAGGTTGGTAGACAGCAACTGCCCAGGGAGGTACTGCCGTCCTGCCAAGTGAGCGTAAAACAAACCTGTAATTGTTTTACATGATGGTAGGATTGCTGGTGTCTTTTTTCTGTCTCATAAACATGCAAGATTTCAGGTACGTCTTGCTACTTCTACTTACACTTAGGTCACACTACACATACATGTACAAGCATATATATATATACACACACACCCCTCTGGGTTTTCTTCTATTTTCTTACTAGTTCTTTTTCTTGTTTATTTCCTGTTATCTCCATGGGGAAGTGGATCAGAATTCTTCCTCCATAAGCCATGCATGTTGCAAGAGGCAGCTAAAATGCCAGGAGCAAGGGGTTAGTAACCCCTCCTCCTGTATGTATTACTAAATGTAAAAGGAGAAACTTTCGTTGTTCCTTTTGGACCACCCCGCCTCAGTGGGATACGGCTGATGTGTTGAAAGAAAGAAATTATAATAATAAATAAAGTGAGGGGATATAATTATAATAATAAATAATGTATTGAAAATAGCTAACCAAGACAGGACTCATAGTAATGGATTCATATTGGACATATTTTGATTTAGAATTTTTTTTTCAACACATCAACCGTATCCTACCGAGGCAAGGTGGCCCAAAAAAGTAAGAAACACTTTCACCATCATTCACACATAATCAATGTCTTTAAAGAGGTGCCCAGATGTGACAGTTTAGATTTTTTTTTTTTCAACAAGTCGGCCGTCTCCCACCGAGGCAGGGTGACAGTTTAGATATAGAGAAGTAATGATTTGACAGCAGGGTAGTACTGTATATAAATGGAACAAGCTCTCAAACAGCATCACTGAAGCCAGAACTTTGGGTTAATTTAAATATGGGTTGGACAGGTACACGAGTGGATGTGAACCAGACCTGTCTAGTATAGGCCAACAGACCTACTGCAGTGCTCCTCTGTTCTTTCATTGATTTTGCTCAGACTCGACATACTCTCCTCATCTAGTTTTTGAAAAAAGAATCTGCATCAACATTCCTCCATGCATACTCTTTATGTTCCCATAAATTCATGCAACCATCTCCTTTCTGCACTTCCATACCATTTTTCAAGTTTCATACATTTAAAAAGCAGCAGTGCACTATTATGTACATATTTTTTTCAATGTCAATACACTATATATCAAGGAATACTTGTATGGTACAGTATTCTTTTAGCAATTCAGAAGTTGCTCAAGTTAAATATAATCTTTGTCAACAGAAATGGTCCAAAAAGATAATGTAACTATCTTAAGGTTTCATCTGGATCTTCATAGACAAAACAGAAACTACTTCCATCACTACAAATAAGTACTATATGTAGACTGTCACTTCCAATAAAAACAAATCTGCAACTTAGTTAATTTTTTCTCTAATTTTACCATTAGACAAGAGTCTGATACTTTGCTGAGTGTGTGATAATTAGCCACTGGTTGTAGCTAGAACCAACTGATCACCTCATCACTTGTCACTTCAAACCTCTCAGCTTCTATGTATCAACTTGGTGTTATATGTTAACACCACATGCTAAGAGAACACTCATTACCTCATTCCTTTATATTACAAGGAATTACCAACTCATTCATATTAGCCTGGATACTGGTTCTATGATTGACATATTATAAACACTTGAATATATTACTGTCCTTACCTCACAATAGTATCCCATCTTCCCTGGTTGGTCTTTAATGGATTTTACAGTGATGAAATTACCACCATACTCTTCCGCTAGAAAATAAACAAAAATATTACTATCTTATGTATAACTTTGATAAATATAGAGTCAATTTAATTAATTCCATTTATTGTGTATTCCTGAAATACATGCATATCTACTATCTTTTAAAATCCTAATATGATCTTTAAGTCTGGATTTTATTTTTCACTTTTCCAATAACAATACCTGTACACTGATTTATAGGCTCCATTATCAGAGATGATAATATATTTACACCTGAGAACAGACAAGTGTTTTATGTTCTATGTTTTCTAATGTATAAAATTCTGTTAAAAGATGAGAGGAATATTTTGAAGAACAGATAATTGGAAAAAGGTTTCAGGGAGGGAAGTCCTTTAAGAGATTTCCAAGATAGATGATGGATTAAGTAATAAGTCAGAAACACAGTGGACCCCCAGGTTATGATATTATTTCATTCCAGAAGTATGTTCAGGTGCCAGTACTGACCGAATTTGTTCCCATAAGGAATACTGTGAATTAGATTAGCCCATTTCAGACCCCCAAACACACACATACAAACGCACTTACATAAATACACTTACATAATTGGTAGCATTGGGAGCTGATCGTAAACCGGGGGTCCACTGTAGTAAGAGGGCTTTAAAAAGAACTTACAGGAAAGTTATATATAAAAAAAAAAGGATGGGGGGGGAATACAATAAGCAAAAAGGGGAGGACTACAATAAGTAAAAGGGGGGGGGAATACAATAAGCAAAAGGAGGGGGAGAAAAATACAATAAGGTTCCAGACCCCAGAACTGAAAATTGCTCTCAGAGTGCAAGAATTAAAAAAAAAAAAAAAAAAAATTCTCATGAAATGATAGAGAATCTTTTTCCGAAGGTAATGAAACCAAAAGTACAAAATTTGATGGAAAACCTACAGAATTACCATCTCACAAAATCAGCAGTCGCAGCGATATTTACGTATCAGCGATTTTGCCCACTTTGAGTCCTATTTTAGACCAATCTACTATTTCAGTCGACCAAACTCTTAGTCTTCCATTCTATCAACTGAGCACAAGAAATTGCCCATTTAACTATTTCAACTACTTAATAAAGTGATAAAAAATTGGTAATTTGGCCAATTTCAAACAAAATTTAAAAACCGCCAATTTAACCCTTTGACTGTTGCAAGCCCATTTCTGAAACTGTCATTCTATGTAGCAAAATTTTTTTGGAAAAAAAAAAAAAAAAAAAAAAAAAAAAAAAAAATACTTATGAAATGACAGAATCTTTTCTCAATGGTAATAACACCAAAAGTACGAAATTTGACTGAAAACATATGGAATTATGCTCTCGCAAAGTTAGCAATCTCGGTGATATATATGCATCAGCGATTTCGCCGACTTTGAGCCCTATTTTTGGCTAATTCCATTGTTTCAGTCAACCAAACTCATAGCTATTTCTTTAGAACTCCATCTTTTCCATCAACTGGGTACAAGAAACTGCCAATTTACCGATTTCAACTACCCAATAAAGTGGTCAGAAATTGGCAATTTGGCCAATTTCATGCAAATTTAAAAAAGATGCCAATTTCAAAATAGGGTCCAGAATACACAAAGCAGACATTCTTAGCACTACACTAACATATCCTCTGTTCATTAGTCACATCTCCAGGCCCCTCTTATATTACTCTTGCTTTCTATTTTGATTTTTTATTTACACCAAAAATAGAAGATTTACTGTTATCCAGACTACTGCATTATCGTAAAAATGGTATAAATAATATCAGTGCACTAGTGAAAGAATATCAGACTCCCCAGTTGATGTGTACTGGGCGTGTGGTATGATTTGCTTACTCTTGAGCATTGGTAAACATCGAACCTTTCCGCAATTTTGAACTCAATTTCAAGGTCGTTTTCACCGTGAAACTTATCAATATCATCTCTATTTCTGTAATATGTTTTACATTCTATCAAACGAGACCAAGAAAACAAGAATACAATTATAAATACTATACGAAAATACAACTCAAAGTCGGCGTTTTAATCCAAAAACATGGCCCGAGTTTTTTTTCTCATTATGCACTGTGTGCTGCAGGATTTTTTTTTATACAGTGCACACTGACCACACAGACCCATTCTCTCACATGTGGGCCTACCAGCTTTCTCCTGCTTGATTTGAAGCCGCTAGAATTATTGAGTATATATACGTCCGAAACACTGCCTCGTAAGACGTATAAATACGGCCGAAACAGTCAAAGGGTTAAAAACAGGGTACACAATAAACTATGTAGACATTCATGGCACTAATACATTTCCTCTGTTCATTAGTTACATCCAATGGCGGCTTGTCCATAGGAGCTGCAGAGCTGCAGTTCCCCTAGATGCTCACTGTCAGATGTATGACTTCATCAACCTTACACTAAAATAATTTTCAACTGACAAATATATTACAGGAAAAATCTGTTGTATGTTATCATTATTAAATTTAGTTTAATTTTAAAAATTATTACTTTAATAACGTTGATTATGCTGTTCTATAAAGCTTGCAGTCACGCAGTCCCCCCATTCTATTTTTTGATTAGCCGCCACTGGTTACATCCCCAGGCCTCTCCTTTTTTTAATTTTTCTTCACACAAAAAAATAGATTCACTGCTATGCAGACTACTACATTATTGTAATAATTGTACAAATAATGTCACTGCATTTGTGAACATGTATTAGATCAACCAGTTGGATGTGTATTGGGCAAGTGACATGTGTGTCCAATGGAATACTGGCAAAAATCAAATGTTTCTGCTTCTTTGAGCTCAATTTCAAGCTACTTCCAGTCTGAAACCAATCAAAATCATCTCTATTTCTGTAATATATCTTCCAAGCTATCAAATGATAAAAGAAACCCTCCAAAAATATACCACAAAGTCACTATTTTAAACCAAATACACGGTCACAGTTTTTTTTCCTCATCACATTCCTGCCCACTGTGTTGGGCAGGAATTTTTTTATATGGTGCACACTCACCGAATAGATCAGTCTTTCATGCCTAGGCCAAGATTTACTGCTAAATGCTTATCTAAGCGGGATGAGCTTATTAAGTACTAATGCAGTAAAGACCCTGACCTCAAAAGGGTTAAGTCACACGATCTTAGCTTGAATTTTCAATATTTTGCTGTTTAAATTTACTTTTCCATTTTCATTACGGCGCATCAGAGCAGAATTTGTTTCCACTGGTTGCATGCATTTCCATTAAGGAGCACCACAGCAGGAAGCCTGGAGGCCCCCACGACACATTTGGCAACTCACTTTTTTTTTTTTTTAGCAATGTGGGGGAGGGTATGAGGGAAGGTAAGGAGATGTAAACAAACAGCCTCCCATGCAAACCAATGGATCTGGACACGTGCCGTACAATGTTTGCTCAGTGCAAATCTTGGAGATGGCACGAGTGTTTAGTGTTTAAGAATCAATGATTTGGTCAATCTCAGACAAAGAGGCAAACATAAGGGCTTGTGCAATGAGTAATCCTCAATGTGATGCAGTGAAAAGAATAAGAAATAGGTCATTAGGGTTAAATAAAACAGAAGGGTTACTAAATGTGTAAGATGAAAAACAGAAAGAAACATGCTCCACTTGATGGCCTTACTATTAGGAAAAAGTCTTATACTATGAAACAGTGTGTGAGGAGAAAGGACACCCCAAAAATGAGTGCAAGTTCAGTTCTGGATGGTTTAACAAATTTAGAAAGTGGGAAGAGTGCCTCTGCTGACCATGCTGGAACAGAAAAAGTTCCTGGGTGAATTAGCTAACATTATCTCTGAGGATGGCAACAAATCTGAACAGGTGGTTAATGCTGACGAGACAGGTTTGTTCTTGAAGATGCCGCCATCTTGAATATATACCAGCAAATAAGAGAAAATTGCTTCTGGATTCAAGGTCCCTAAAGCCTGTTTCAGACTGTTTCTTTATGGTAATGCACCAGGAGAATTAAAGTGTAACCTGCTTACAGATCCAAGAGCGACCGAGGCCTTCTTGAGTGGTTCAAGCATCACTTTATTTCTTAAGTGATAATGTATTGGTCCTTGAAAAATTTTGTACTCGGGGTTCTTCTAATCCTTGATAAATGTCATAGTCATCCTTAACTCTGGAGGATGTGGAACCAGGTGTTAAGATTGTCTTTTTACCCCCTATACGATATCCTTGATACAACCACTGGACTGAGGAGTTATCAAAACATTTAAGTGTCAGCAACCATACAGTGTGGTGCAGACACTAGAGGTAGCAACTAATGAGACACAGTGGAATGCCAGAGTTTGGATGCAAATTTAAAATTGCAGATGCACTTCCCTGTGTAAATAAGCATGGAATCATGTACCAAAACTAACAATAAATAGTAATTGGAGAAAAATAAGGCCTAGTGTGAATGATTTTCTGGTTTTCCATTAGTGGAAATTCAGGTTCAGAAAACTGCTGATCTGGCATGGAGAGTGCCAGGTGAGGGATTTTAACCCCTTGACTGTCGCAACCCCCAATCCTGAGGTGTCTCCTGGTGTAGCAAAATTTAAAAAAAAAAAAAAAAAAAAAATTTCTTATGAAATGATAAGAGAATCTTTTCCCGATTGTAATGACACCAAAAAAAAAAACAAAATTTGATAGAAAACTGACGGAATTACGCTCTCACGAAGTTAGCGATCTCGGCAATGTTTACAAATTGGCGATTTCGCCCACTTTGAGCCCTATTTTCGGCTAATTCCATTGTTCCGGTGGACCTAACTCATAGCTATTTCTTTAGAACTCCATTTTTTCTATCGAATGAGTACAAGAAACTGCCCATTTACAGATTTCAACTACCCAATAATGTGGTCAGAAATTTGCAATTTTGCCAATTTCACAAAAATTAAAAAATATGACAATTTCAAAATAAGGTCCTGAATGAACAATGCAGACATTCGTGGCTCTAAAATTACATTTTCCTTGTTCATCAGTCACATCTCCAGGCCCCTCTGATATTACTCTTGCTTTCTATTTTGAATTTTTATTCAAACAAAAAATAGAAGATTTACTGTTATGCAGACTACTGCAATGCTGTAATAAGTGTACAAATAATATCAACCCATTCATGACTGCATATTAGAATGACTAGTTGGACATTTATTGTACAATTACATAATTTGTTTACCTTTGAACATCGGCAAAAATCAAACATTTCCCCTACTTTGAGCTCCATTTCCAGGTTATTTTTATAGTAAAACCAATCAAAATCACCTCTATTTCTACAATATGTTTTCCATTCTATCAAATGAGACCAAGAAAACGAGAATACACCCATAAATACTATACAAAAATAGACCACAAAGTCGGCATTTTAATTAAAAAAAAAAAAAAAAAACGGTTGGAGTTTTTTCTTTCTCATTATGCACGGTGTGCCAGGATTTTTTTTATATGGTGCACACTGACCACACAGACCCATTCTCTTACATGTGGGCCTACCAGCTTTCTCCTGCTTGATTTGAAGCCGCTAGAATTTATGAGTAGTATATATACGTCAAACGTGGTACCTCGTAAGACGTATATATACGGCCAAAACAGTCAAAGGGCTAAGATATGCAGGCAGATGACATCAATGAATGCTTGAATGATGATGATGATAAGGAACAAGCTGCAGTGGAAATGATGCAGGAATTAAATTCCCAGTTGCAAGAAGAGATGATGAGGATGAAGAACCCAAGCCTGAATGGCCAACAGTAACACTGCAAGAGATACACGAGTCACTGATAAACAGGCTTGATAACTGAAAAGAATCATGACTCATCTTGAAGCACTGTATAAAAAACTGCAAGGAAAAACAAACCAAAGGCATATAACAATCAACTGATGAAGCTCTACCAATATGGCAAGATTAGGTAGAAAATTAAGTAGAAAAATGTATTTTTTTTGTTTTTGTTTTAATTATGATAGTACAACAATTTGTTTGGGCTTTTTGGAGGTATGAGGAACACAACCCTATTTTTCCAATAAGTTTTTCAGTCCATAAATCAAGGAAAGCATTGGTAGCGCAGTTTTCAGGAACATAAACCAAACGACAAATGAATGTCCACTGTATGTAGAGGCAGCAGCCAGTGACCAAGTTATCATAGAAATGTTAATGTGTGGCAGTTTACAAGTTTCTGCTCAAGTCAAGTAAGAGCAAGAAATGAAAATTAGATAGACACAGCAACTGGAATAGTGTAGAGAGAGAATGCAAGAATTATAAAGCAACAAGTGTGTTGAATATGGATAGTAAATTTTAATGCAGAGTGGTATCCCAAAGGAATTAAATCTTCATAAAAGAATTAAAAAGATCATCCAAGGCAAAATTAAAGAACAAGATGGAATTATGAGGATGCAATATTGTGTTGAAAACGTTATTAAACTAAAAAAAGTGCTTACAACATTCATGAATATGAAGAAAGTGTGTACAAATAAGTTGACTGTCAGCATATGGAATGGAAGCAAGATTTTTTTTTAAGCAGTTGAGTTTTTCCTACAAGGATGATGGCAGATCATGTGGAATGAAATCTTATACACTGTATGAGAAAAACGGAGAAATGTACTGTCATGGAACAATGATAATGGATATTAAGTATTCAACGATTAACTTTCTTATTACTGTAAACTTTTAGAGAAGTGCGATATAAATTTCTTATTGTCACACAAGTGAGTGTTCTCAAATCAATTATTTTCTAATAATAAATTCCTTAACATGAAGATATCTTCTGCAAAGACATCATCAGATTAAAACAATTTTTTTATTTAATGTACTGGCTGTCTTCCACCAAGGAAGGGTGACCTAAAAAGAAAAACTAAAAGTTTTTCTTTTCACATTTAGTAATTTATAGAGAAGAACGGGTTTCTAGCCCTTTGCTTCCAATAATTAATTTTATATACAGTGTATTACTACCATAAAAAATACTTAAAACAATTCTTACAGTATATTCCATTCTACTGATGAATACATTATGTGTAATATCTAAGATCTTTTATATGCAAGTTGATGTGAAAATAATCAATATAACATTTCCAAAGCATTTTTATGGTAAGATATTTTATATACAAGTTCTTATTAGAACTTATTAAGACTTGGCTTATTTAGCAATGATTACTAAAGGTGTGTTTATTAATTTTTACTCTGTAAAAATTAGTAAGGCCATCACAAAATTTATATATTTCATTGATATTAAATAACACTAACTAAAGTTAGACTAACCTAAGAGTGTTTGGGTAAATATTAATTTTTTTTTAGCAAGGTTAGTTTCAATGCAAAAACTAAAGAATTGACTAGCATGTTAACTGTAATTATATCATTGCATAAAAATAAATATTAATATATTTATTTGTTAAAAAAAATTAATTTGTGCAAAAGAGGAATAACATAAATAGCAGTAAAATCAATTTTAATTTGAAAAAATCTACAAAATATTAACAAATAACTGTTTACATCATATTACTTGTTAGTGAGAGAATATGACTAAATAAGCTGCAGATCCCAGGACGCATTCAAGTAAGTCTGGATAACCTGCTCTAAATGATCATATTTGGTCTATAAGACTTCAAGTTTAATAGCTATTTAGTACTTGGATCAAATCTAGTCAGCTTTAGGGCCACTGCTAAAACAAGAGTACATCAAAAAACAAATTTATATATATTTTTTTCAGATTCAGTGACTCGTTGACTGAATTTGACTTAATCAAATTCCAGAAACAAACATGAGCACAATACTAGTGTAATATTTTATAGACGTAGTTTCGGTTAAGTCTATATAAAGATGAAACAATGAACTCAAGTACATGTAATTAGTATACAAACTTTATCTAGTCATAAGGCACTAACAGTTATTAAAACAAGCTTTTAACCCGTAAACGGTCCAAGCAGATCTACGTTCACATGTGTACTGCTACAAAAGTAGATCTACATTTTTTTTTACATATTTTCAAATGTAACAAAAAAAAAAAGTAGATCAAAGTTTTTTTATACATTTTCAAATGTAAAAAAACAAAAAGAAGATCTACTTTTTTTACATACTTTCAAATGTTGAAAAAACGTACACAGTGGACCCCCGGCTTACGATATTATTTCATTCCAGAAGTATGTTCAGGTGCCATTACTGAACGAATTTGGTCCCATAAGGAATATTGTGAATTAGATTAGTCCATTTCAGACCCCCGAACATACACATACAAACGCACTTACATAAATACACTTACATAATTGATCACAATGGGAGCTGATCGTAAAGCGGGGGTCCACTGTATATACGTTTGGACCGTTTACGAGTTAAAAGTGAAAAGCAGGTCTCCTATTTCTTGTGAGAAGTACTACAACTAAGACAACAGCTGAGTGCTCTACTACATGTACTACAACAAAGATCAACCAAACAAAAATCAAATGAACTACTATAATCAATTGAACTAGTATAATCAAATTTATTGACTGATGATCCAGATTCAACTAAAAACTAAGACGAAAAACGTAAAAAGCTTTTCAGTCAAAATAATACTATGCAAGCCTCCATCACAATAGCTGGAATTCAATTCTATTATTAATGGCTGCAACTCTACCATGCTTGTTGAAGGGATGACTTTTCCCATTAAAAACTTTATTAGGGTTACCAGTGGTAAGTAATAAACATTAATACACAACAGTACAGTACTATGACTTACCTAATTTTTTATTTTCCTCGGCAATAGAGGTGGTATCCTCCTCTTCGTCATCACATTCCATATTGTCATTCCAGTTATTTTTTTCATTAAAAGCATAATCGTCTTGATCTCGCCTCTGTTTCTTGGTGTCATCAGCATGCCCTTGAGGTGCGTCGCGCTTGTATCCTGCTGAAGGCCTTGTCCTTATATTCCCTAATATTACAGCATGGAAAACAGCATGGTCGTGTGTGGAAACTGTACATCACAATATGTACCATGCACGCCTTAATATCCTCATGCACTAGACAACGGCTTTTGCTAGGGTTTGTAATTAATAATGTAGAAATATCTGACTCTTATCTTCCCCTATATAATATTTATTAATTTTTTTTATAATAAAAAGATCTTCCTTTCAGTTTCAATGCTTTACCATTGCTAAAATTTGTGTACAGTATTATTTTTTTCATTAAAACCAAGCATTATGTGAAAAGTCATTTAATTAGTTTTTAGCTTATTAAATAGTAATTACCATTCCTTAACACATCAGTTTTTGTCAACAATAACAACAACTCTCAAGCATTTTTTTATTCATTCCCAGTTTAATAAGAAGAAATGCACACACACACACACTCACACAGAGCTTGCACATACCCTTTTAGCTGTTCTTTATAGTGTGGTAAATAGTGTATTGAACCTAGAAGCACTGATGCTTTAAGACTAAATAGTTCATATAACTTTCCAACATCCCAGAATCTTGTTTCCACACAATACCTAACATTTATTAACCCTTAAACTGTCCAAATGTCGATCTGCATCTACGCGCGTAGCGCTCCGACCTTGATTGTCTCCATTTGAAAGCATGTAAAAAAATGTAGATCTACATTCGGAGTGCTACACAAGCGAACGTAGATCTACATTTGGACAGTTTAAGGGTTAATACAAAAGGCAGGTCTCATATGTTAAATACCAACAGTTCATTTTTTCTCCCACCTTTAATGAATATTTACTAGTAAATGTTTCCCTTGGAGAAAATAGTCTGTAAAGATACAGTAATATGTATTTGATACAGTACAGTACAGTACTCACAAATGAACTAAAACCTTAGAAATGTGTCAAACCCAGAGCCATCTATGGCAAACAATAATATTCTATCAGAAAAAATGGAATAAAAGTCAAAGTGAAGAAAAAGAAATCAAATGATGGAGTGATTTATGAAAAGACATTAAGATTTACTAAGAGTATAACAAATATTTAAAAAATGTACAAGTGGTTTAGAATGAAAAAAAAAAAAAAAAAGTAAGACAGATAAAGGCGAGAATGCCTATCCAGAACCACTGTTGTGTCAGGGTGCCAAATCTTGACTTCTGATCAAATTTAAAAATCCCAGGTGCCACATTTAACAAGTTGCACCACATAGCTCCTAACCTTTAATTGAGCTATGTGTAGAAAGAGATTTGGTAATAAGTAATACATATTTTATGAAAAAGAGGATAAATAAATATACAAGGTAAGATGTAGCACGTAATGAAAGTAGTTTATTAGATTATGTATTGGTGGATAAAAGGTTGATGGGTAGGCTCCAGGATGTACATGTTTATAGAGGGGCAACTGATATATCGGATCACTATTTAGTTGTAACTACAGTTAGAGTAAGAGGTAGATGGGAAAAGAGGAAGGTGGCAACAACAAGTAAGAGGGAGGTGAAAGTGTATAAACTAAGGGAGGAGGAAGTTCGGGTGAGATATAAGCGACTATTGGCAGAAAGGTGGGCTAGTGGGGGGTTGAAGAGGGTTGGAATAGTTTTAAAAATGCAGTATTAGAATGTGGGGCAGAAGTTTATGGTTATAGGAGGGTGGGTGCAGGAGGAAAGAGGAGTGATTGGTGGAATGATGAAGTAAAGGGTGTGATAAAAGAGAAAAAGGTAGCTTATGAGAGGTTTTTACAAACCAGAAGTGTTATAAGAAGAGCAGAGTATATGGAGAGTAAAAGAAAGGTAAAGAGAGTGGTGAGAGAGTGCAAAAAAGGAGCAGATGATAGAGTGGGAGAGGCACTGTCAAGAAATTTTAATGAAAATAAGAAAAAATTTTGGAGTGAGTTAAACAAGTTAAGAAAGCCTAGGGAAAGTATGGATTTGTCAGTTAAAAACAGAGTAGGGGAGTTAGTAGATGGGGAGATGGAGGTATTAGGTAGATGGCAAGAATATTTTGAGGAACTTTTAAATGTTAAGGAAGAAACAGAGGCAGTAATTTCATGCACTGGTCAGGGAGGTATACCATCTTTTAGGAGTGAAGAAGAGCAGAATGTAAGTGTGGGGGAGGTACGTGAGGCATTACGTAGAATGAAAGGTGGTAAAGCAGCTGGAACTGATGGGATCATGACAGAAATGTTAAAAGCAGGGGGGGATATAGTGTTGGAGTGGTTGGTACTTTTGTTTAATAAATGTATGAAAGAGGGGAAGGTACCTAGGGATTGGCGGAGAGCATGTATAGTCCCTTTATATAAAGGGAAAGGGGACAAAAGAGACTGTAAAAATTATAGAGGAATAAGTTTACTGAGTATACCAGGAAAAATGTACGGTAGGGTTATAATTGAAAGAATTAGAGGTAAGACAGAAGGTAGGATTGCGGATGAGCAAGGAGGTTTCAGAGTGGGTAGGGGATGTGTAGATCAAGTGTTTACATTGAAGCATATATGTGAACAGTATTTAGATAAAGGTAGGGAAGTTTTTATTGCATTTATGGATTTAGAAAAGGCATATGAAAGAGTGGATAGAGGAGCAATGTGGCAGATGTTGCAAGTATATGGAATAGGTGGTAAGTTATTAAATGCTGTAAAGAGTTTTTATGAGGATAGTGAGGCTCAGGTTAGGGTGTGTAGAAGAGAGGGAGACTACTTCCCGGTAAAAGTAGGTCTTAGACAGGGATGTGTAATGTCACTATGGTTGTTTAATATATTTATAGATGGGGTTGTAAAGGAAGTAAATGCTAGGGTGTTCGGGAGAGGGGTGGGATTAAATTTTGGGGAATCAAATTCAAAATGGGAATTGACACAGTTACTTTCTGCTGATGATACTGTGCTTATGGGAGATTCTAAAGAAAAATTGCAAAGGTTAGTGGATGAGTTTGGGAATGTGTGTAAAGGTAGAAAGTTGAAAGTGAACATAGAAAAGAGTAAGGTGATGAGGGTGTCAAATGATTTAGATAAAGAAAAATTGGATATCAAATTGGGGAGGAGGAGTATGGAAGAAGTGAATGTTTTCAGATACATGGGAGTTGACGTGTCGGCGGATGGATTTATGAAGGATGAGGTTAATCATAGAATTGATGAGGGAAAAAAGGTGAGTGGTGCGTTGAGGTATATGTAGAGTCAAAAAACGTTATCTATGAAGGCAAAGAAGGGAATGTATGAAAGTATAGTAGTACCAACACTCTTATATGGATGTGAAGCTTGAGTGGTAAATGCAGCAGCGAGGAGACGGTTGGAGGCAGTGGAGATGTCCTGTTTAAGGGCAATGTGTGGTGTAAATATTATGCAGAAAATTCGGAGTGTGGAAATTAGGAAAAGGTGTGGAGTTAATAAAAGTATTAGTCAGAGGGCAGAAGAGGGGTTGTTGAGGTGGTTTGGTCATTTAGAGAGAATGGATCAAAGTAGAATGACATGGAAAGCATATAAATCTATAGGGGAAGGAAAGAGGCGTAGAGGTCGTCCTCGAAAGGGTTGGAGAGAGGGGGGTAAAGGAGGTTTTGTGGGCAAGGGGCTTGGACTTCCAGCAAGCGTGCGTGAGCGTGTTAGATAGGAGTGAATGGAGACAAATGGTACTTGGGACCTGACGATCTGTTGGAGTGTGAGCAGGGTAATATTTAGTGAAGGGATTCAGGGAAACCGGTTATTTTCATATAGTCGGACTTGAGTCCTGGAAATGGGAAGTACAATGCCTGCACTTTAAAGGAGGGGTTTGGGATATTGGCAGTTTGGAGGGATATGTTGTGCATTTATTTATTTTATTATCACACCGGCCGATTCCCACCAAGGCAGGGTGGCCCGAAAAAGAAAAACTTTCACCATCATTCACTCCATCACTGTCTTGCCAGAAGGGTGCTTTACACTACAGTTTTTAAAACTGCAACATTAACACCCCTCCTTCAGAGTGCAGGCACTGTACTTCCCATCTCCAGAACTCAAGTCCGGCCTGCCGGTTTCCCTGAATCCCTTCATAAATGTTACTTTGCTCACACTCCAACAGCACGTCAAGTATTAAAAACCATTTGTCTCCATTCACTCCTATCAAACACGCTCACGCATGCCTGCTGGAAGTCCAAGCCCCTCGCACACAAAACCTCCTTTACCCCCTCCCTCCAACCCTTCCTAGGCCGACCCCTACCCCGCCTTCCTTCCACTACAGACTGATACACTCTTGAAGTCATTCTGTTTCGCTCCATTCTCTCTACATGTCCGAACCACCTCAACAACCCTTCCTCAGCCCTCTGGACAACAGTTTTGGTAATCCCGCACCTCCTCCTAACTTCCAAACTACGAATTCTCTGCATTATATTCACACCACACATTGCCCTCAGACATGACATCTCCACTGCCTCCAGCCTTCTCCTCGCTGCAACATTCATCACCCACGCTTCACACCCATATAAGAGCGTTGGTAAAACTCTACTCTCATACATTCCCCTCTTTGCCTCCAAGGACAAAGTTCTTTGTCTCCACAGACTCCTAAGTGCACCACTCACTCTTTTTCCCTCATCAATTCTATGATTCACCTCATCTTTCATAGACCCATCCGCTGACACGTCCACTCCCAAATATCTGAATACGTTCACCTCCTCCATACTCTCTCCCTCCAATCTGATATTCAATCTTTCATCACCTAATCTTTTTGTTATCCTCATAACCTTACTCTTTCCTGTATTCACCTTTAATTTTCTTCTTTTGCACACCCTACCAAATTCATCCACCAATCTCTGCAACTTCTCTTCAGAATCTCCCAAGAGCACAGTGTCATCAGCAAAGAGCAGCTGTGACAACTCCCACTTTGTGTGTGATTCTTTATCTTTTAACTCCACGCCTCTTGCCAAGACCCTCGCATTTACTTCTCTTACAACCCCATCTATAAATATATTAAACAACCACGGTGACATCACACATCCTTGTCTAAGGCCTACTTTTACTGGGAAAAAATTTCCCTCTTTCCTACATACTCTAAC